CTAAACAACTGCGTCACAAGACGATTGAACGTTGCTGGTGCGTTCGACAGCCCTTAGGTCATGACTGGTCACTCCCAGAGCATACCGCTCGGAGTACCCACCGCTGCCAGCGGAACTCGCTCTCATGAGCAATTGGTAGTAATCATCGACTAAGTCGAGCGTGCTGTACAGCGTACAGCCTACCATGTTGTTCTGCAGAACATCCTTGCGAGGAATCGGCGTTTGCGCCGGAATAGTGGCCGCATTTAGCTTGTTAAAAGCATGAACAATGCGCCACTTGCCGTTCGGCTTTCTGACACAGAACGTGGGTGTCGAGTGCGGAGACTTACTCTCACGCACCATCCCTGCCTCGTGCTTCGCACGGAAGAATGCGTCAATGACGTCACACTGCTCTCTCGGCAAAGGCCATTGCTTTGTTACGCAGTATTTGGTTCCAGGAACCAGGTCAATCTCATGACACACGCCTCGTTCCGGAGGCAGGCCCGTCGGTGGGTCTTTCGAGACAACGTCTCCATACTCCTTCACCACTGGGTAGAAGGGATCCGAAGGATCTTTGAGGATCGCCGATCCACTTCTTGCGCTCAGCGGCCTCTTGGTGTCCTCAGGGACCGCGTCGTCCACGACGGATGAGGCGTTCAACTCCTCCTCAGGTCCCAGCAGGACCACCTCGGCTAGCTCGCCTGCCTTTAAGGCTTCGCCAAACTCGGCAATGGACATCTCGTCCAGCTCTAGCAGAGCTTCCGCAGCGGGCAGAGCGTCAAGGCTGATATCGCCTTCTACCTCCCCCGTCACTCCGTTCACGAGTGTATACAGCTGTTCAAAGCAATCACGTTGAGCATCACTGTTCGTCACGTTGGGCACATCGTCCGACGTCGAAGACGTCACAGACGCCCTGCGTCTTCTTCTCCTCTCCCTCCGCGACCGAGTCCGGCCGGATGAGGGCGGTGTGGCGGCATCTCCGTCACCATCACCGGGTGCAGCAGCACCATCACTCCTCGAAGAGGATACAGTGTCTCGCAAGACACTCGGCTGAAAGTAAAGATGTCCTTGACCTTCACACAGTGAACTAGGTGTCACTTCACCTGCATCTCCTGGGCCACGCCCATGATGCCTCGACTCGCAGTCGACCGCGACCCTCGTGTCACGCAGCGGTAGGTCATCGACCAGATTCGTACCACTCCGTGGATTACGCGCCACTCCGCGCTCGTCCTCACCAGGACCCAGCAGTTGGTCATTGACCTGACCTGCACCGCTCAGCGGATAACGTGCCGCACCACGTACGCCCTCAGGGCAAACAGCAACCTCGTTGCTAACATATTCGGACATACCAATGTCCAGCACTACGGCCGCCTCGGCCTCGTGCTCGCGCCAAAAGCGCTTCTGCTTCCTAGCAGAGGTGGGTTCATGACTCACCAAAGCTCCACTAGAAGCAGGGTGCGACGCACCCAGCGTTTTCGACTTCCAGTCGATCCATGGCTCATGGCGTTCCAGCCATGCCATGCCCAGGATGAGGACATACCTCGCATCCAGGTCTAAGACCAAACAGCGTTCCACGCTATCGAAGCTCTCAAACTTCACTCCAAGGTCGACAGAGACCTTCGACACAGTTACCAGTGTCCCCGTCGCGAGACGGACAGCGATCGTATCTCTCGTTGGCACTTTCAGCATACAGCTGACTCCCTTCTAGGGTGGAGCGACGGGCGTAGTTGCCCGAGGCTCCCGAGTCAAGCAAGACTCTCCATGGCTTTGCAAAGCCCTTCACGTTCGCTTGAACGACCAGCAAGCCCGGCTTGCACACACTCTTCTCGTACGAGAGCTCAGCTCTCTTCGGGGCTGAGCCCCGTTGCCCTCTACCTCCTCGAGGCAAAACAGAACTCAGTTCTTCCCCAGTAGGCCGCCCCGCGCCTACTGGGAGTTGCCGTTTCCCGGAGGGTTAACTCGCCGGAGCCTCGCGCTTCTTGCGCAGAGGGCAATAGGCCCTCAAGTGCTTAGTGCTATTGCACACAAAGCATCGGCGGATGCCGGCACGCTGCTCCGCAGCAAGAAGCTCCGCTTCTTCATTTTCAACATAGCTGAGGTCCATCGGCTCTGGACCGCTCGAAGAGCTTGCGCTACCAGCGCTCCAACCAGGTCGCGCCGACCTGAAGTTGTGCTCGGCATTCAATGCCACATCCACCGCCTCTTCGAAAGCGTTAGGGTGTACACGGAACACTTCCGTTCGAGCTGCGCTCACACGAAGTCCCTCCATGAACACGGTCACGCTGACCAGTTCCGGAAGAGGGTCCGCCGCCATTCCGGCGATAAGAGTTCTCAACTCTTGGACATAGTCCAATAAATCCTTCTTACCCTGGTGGGTAGAAAGGAACTTTGACCGGATACGGTACGCCTGTTTAGGCGGCGCGAACACGCGATAAAGCTGTTGCTTCAGCTGCCCCCAAGTGAAAAATGCAGCGTCAACAGACGTGCCGCACGTTAGTGCCCATTCGCGAGCGCGACCTCCAAGCCTGGAGATAGCCAGCGCCACGCGCTGATGCTCAGACTGGAGCAGGGCCGATTCCATGGCCATCTCGACCTCACGGGTCCAGAGAAGAAGATTCTCTCCATCCTTCCCCTCGAAGGTTTTACGCTCCCCTTGAGGGGTTTCAGTCTCGTAGACTCTTCACGCGTCATCGACGCTGCCGCCGTTGCGGCGCTCATCTTCTCTTGGACGTGCTCCAAGAGCACGTTCTCGTAGCGGGAGAACGATTCCAGCCTGGCGGTGACCGCCTCTGGACCTTGCGATGCAAAATGAGCCACGCCCTCCGGGCCAAGCAAGGACATAAGCTTAGTAAGCGCGTCCTGCGGCAGCGGGGGCAAATTCGCGAACCCAGGGTACTCCATCCTCGCAGAGGATATAGTCAACCGACTCAGGAGCGGGATTGACTACAAGTGCTACCAAGTGCAGCGGGGCTGCCGTAGCTTTAGACTCAGAGGAAGACGTTCGACTCAAAGAGTCACTAATACTAAGTTCCTTATCCAAAGGACACTTACAGCCCAAAACCAGGGCTCAAAGTTAATACCTTAACTTTTTATGCTTCAAAACCAGAAGTGTTTTATTTACTTTTATTGCGGCCAAGCCGCTTATGGGTAAATGTATCTGTTTAACTATCTAGCATAGTTAAACCTAATCAAATGCATAACGTGTAGCTTTCAGCCAACGTATGAGAGACCTTGTTAACTCTCCAACTTATGTACTGAGGGTTTGCTAACTCTCCGGGTACTTCGTACCGCTGTGTGTTCCACACCATGTAACCCCGTTACATCAATAAAGCTTCTTTTGCACACACATCGTTGCGATTTCCTTTGTCGATGTTGAAAAATCCACTTGCATTTCGTTGTTCCGGCTATTCATCAATCACTGCTTATCTTCTTGCCAAGCTTCTATTTTCTTCCATACGAAAAACGGAAATGCTACATAATACAAAGACAATAGTGAATAGCTAGCCATAATGTCAGATAAATAAAATTGTGAGTTTTCGTTTATAGGTGCTTTTTCACAAAACACCTCTAAGCAAAACGCGCGTACCTGGAGATTAAGGTCTCCACCATAGCTCAGCACGATGTCGACAGGCTCGGTGGTGCTCGCTGTGCGTTGACTCGTCCCTGTAAGTTCATGTCGACGCTTCTGCCTTGCGCTCCTTTCGGATTTCTCTCGCTGGGTGCGGATCACCCGCTTCATAGTTTTCACAAGTGCCCTTTGGCACCACGAAGTTGTGGTCTAAAAGTGTTGCAGCTGTCGTTTCGTGTGTAGCTGTGGGTTCTCGCCATTCCACAATCTTATCGGTCATGTTCAAGGGGTATGCATCCATTGTCATCCTCACTAACTCCAAATCCATCACACACTCACGCCAAACGAAGAGATCACGAAGCTTAACAGTGGAATCCAACCACACCACTACAGCAAGTCGCTTTGGTCTGGTCGCCCACGGTTTACCCTGTTTAGGTGCCTTCCTTGTTGATTTCTTCGGTCTAGCTTTTGGCAAACGCAACACCTCAACACCACCGATGCTTGCAATAGTTGGTTGTACCGGATTAAACAGTGGAAGTTGTTTTGGCACGGCCAATTGTACATCGGGACTGCGAGGATCGGTAGACATAGCTCCAGCATATTCGGAAATCCCAGTAGTAAAGCGATTGCTTGTAGAAACCGGTAGCTCGCTGGATGCAACAGAAAGACTTGTTGTCTCACTAGTCCTATCAGGTATAGAGATAGTACTACCAAAACCCTCAGTAATAGTTGAGCCAGCAGAGTATTTTTCTCTCTGTTCATCTCGCTGTTGGTCTTCGAAGTTATTGTTTTCCGCTGTACCACGGATCATTTCCGGCATCCCCACATCATCGAAAGCGTCCTCGTCACCACTGGGGCCCTCCTCGTCGCTATCTTCTTGAGGACGGAGGTCCTCACCCGCAGGTACTGCGTTGTGATCAAGGTATTGTCGCGAGCGATCATGTGCTGCTGTCTATAGTTGTGATAGCCGCTGAAAAACATCCACCGTTGATAACTGCGATAACGTCTTCAAAACAGGCTCTAATGCCGCTAATGCGTAGCGGTACTTTTCGGGAGATGGCAGGACAACCATATCAGCCTTTACGCCACGACGGAGTCTTACGTAGCTTACCCTCCTCGGCGAAAATCGTGATAAAGGTGTTTCAGAAGTTAAAAGCACTTGATCACGTAAAGGTTCCGAAGCCAAAGGCGCCGAAGCGTTAACACTCGCACAAGGTGGCAACCTGACAAAATCCAGAATTCTTGAAGGTGTATGTAAACTTGGCCTCGTTTCACAAGCGGCTCGCATGCACCATCGTCCTCTGAGAGCTTGGATAGGTATACTCTGTAGCTTCAATCCATCACGTACAATCAGGAGGAGATGCCGGCACGGCAAATACGTACATCGGGCAAACAGTGTGTCGGAATTCCTGCACCAATTGCTTCCCGAATGAGCGAATACGCCTACCAATTACTACGGAATGAGTGGGGTGTTCTGCACAGCAATATGAAAGATGCTGGTTGTATTCAATTCGGTAGCAAGTACGAGTGGGAAGTGTACACAAATTATCGGCGGTATAATTGTGACGTGGAGAAATGGAGTTGTTCGTGTAATTTCCGCACACGCGAGGTGGATCCGTGCTTGCTGAGTACGTAGCTAAGATTACGAAAAACAGCTCGTTGATGCCCAAGCAAACCCGCTACAGCTTTGTCTAGTCGTGGCTGATGACCGAGCGGTTTTTTTTACCTGGTGCCAGTTGGCCTCGATACGATTCGTCGTAGAATTTCCAGCCGAAAAGTATCTGTCTCGTGCAAAACTAGCCCACATTTCTGTACACGATTTCCAATATTTGTCGAAATATGCCACTACATCAGGTGCAATCTTGTCGCAGTAGTCTCTGAATGCTTCGTAGCACTCGTCAAATGTGGACTCGGAGTTACTACAAAAAACAGGAAACTAACGTAAGGAACTGCATAGAAGCAAGGGTAGCACAAATTTCAAATTCGTTCATGTGCAGCATTCGCGCGAACATTGATTCCAAATCAACTCGCTCCACAACCGTAAGGCTAAACGGCGGTCCACGTGAAAGATTCGTCTTTGAACGGCGCGCGAGCAGTTTCCCCATAAACGTTATAGCGTGGTACTGACAAAGCAGTACCTTTGCTTTCGGAAAACACGTTTCAATAACTCGCCACTCCACGAAATCCTTGTCTATAACGAACGACTTGATTTCCTCCCACCGCGGATTGTTAGACTTAAAGAGCGCAAAAATCTTTTCCATCGTAATAGCCTTCTCGTCCAGCGACAGGAAGTCAATCACAAGCACACCACGGCCTGTTGATGTCGTTACGATGAGACTACCTAAATGAAGCTGCCTCAGAGACATCATTACTTAAAGGCAATATTTCCGATAAAGGTAATAATACATACTTAAGTGGTAGCCAAGGTTGTTGGTATTATGTGTCCAATCCATCACTAGGCAGTCTCCCACAGCTCAAAGCTTTTCTTCTGCTGTTTCGTCTGAAACACGATGGCCGTCGTGATATCCGATTGGTCCTGAAGAAAAATTACATCGCTGCATTCCTCTTGTGCGACTGCACTCATAGGTATTTTGAGTTTTTTCCTGTGCATCCGTCTTCCCTTCCAAGCGATGCATAATTTTTCTGACTTGCTGTGAGGTCACAGGCCTCCCTGTCATCAACATAACATTATAAAACACCTAACGTTAAAATCAAATAGAGAATAACACCCAGTGTCATTTGATTTTACCTAGTTTGTCCGTCAAGAAGGAAGTGGTGCATCTAGGTTCTGCGCGGGTGTGAACCATCTCGGCTAATGTGGTCAGTACTTCAGGATGATCATCGGCAGAGGCTGCTCCCAAATAGAAGCTGGCAATGTCACTATTAACCTCGTGGTTGTGTGTTCGAGTCTAGGAATACAACAGGTAAGTCAGCAAACATTGATAGCTGAAAATACACAGTTATACAGTAGTTACAATACCTCGTTCTCGATGACAATTTTCCAACCGTCAGAAGAGTTCTCTACTCTTGCAGTAAATCTCGCAGGACACCCTTGAAAGCGACCAACTTTTTGCCGCTTCCCATAACCCCGCGGCTTCGAGTAGCAGAATTGTGTACACCTGTAAGCTCTGAACACCCACTTGAACTTGCTAGGCAATTTTACTTCAGACGTTCTTCAAATAATATAGATTTAATACAAGTATAGCAGTGCCTTTAACTGGAAAGAAACAGTGCCTTTACGTACATCTGTCGTGAAAGAAAGCAGCACTTACTTGCTGTGAATCTCGGTCAAACGTGAGTCGCGCCAGCGATACCGAATAATATTATCCTCTGTGTAGCTTTTGGCAGCTTCTAGAATTGAATCCCAGTCGTTGCTCTCCCGTTAGAGGAATGGTGGCCGTAAATTCGATACATGCTCGACACTTTTAATAATGCCGATTCGCTGGCCCCACGATAAGCTGCGTCTCTGACGCGGAACGAGGTCAAGGTAAACCAGTTCTGCCACAGATGACCCTTCACCACAGGAGTCCGCTCTTGTTCGATTGCGAACTACAACAACTGCATCTGTAAAAACATTAGTAGTTGAATTAAAAAAAAGTGAAAACTTGCAGGTACCAGGTCTTGTGTCGGGAAGTACATTTGCAGCTTCTTGATCACTATCTCTAGGCCGCTTACGCTGGGATAGCGGATTCGAATTGCGGTCCAAGCCTAATCAAAAGGTATTTCGTTTGCTAAATAAAAGGATTAGAGCTATAAAGACTGAATTTAACGTACATTCGGCTTCCAGATCGTCAGCAACGTCGTCGTCCTTATACTCGCTGTTTCCATCTTTGTCCGGTTCGTAGTCGGAGTCGGAATTACTTTCGTGTACATGCAGTACAATCCCTCTAGCGTTCGATTTGACAGCGCGGACTCCGCGGGGGCGAGGGGCACGGGCTACTTCACGTGACTCGTCTTCCTCGGAGGCGAGGCAGGCTGCGAGACCCGTGGCACTGTCTGTATTGTCAAGGTCGGCGTTGTTTTCATCGTCCGCCATTTTGTATTTTACCACTGCAAGCTCTCTCAGCCGGTCGATTGGTTTGTTATAATTCTGACCGTTATTAACCCCTTGGTTCCCAACGTCGTAACTTACGACATAATGAGACTTACATTAGGAAATGGCTCAAGCAATACTTTAACCAAGTCATTTAAATATAATAAGGTTCAAGAGGTAACTGGGGTAAATCCAAAAACAAGACAGGGAAAGGGGTGCAGAAAATCAGTTCCCACTGGATATTTTTCCGCGCCCAGCCACGGGACCTGTAAAACCACTCATTCCAGAATTTGCTGGATGGCGCGCATCCGGTCCAGCAAACGCGGAAAGACCGCCGCCGTTGCCACCGCCGCTCGAGACATCGACTTTCGCCATTTCTGGAGGCAGCTGAAGGCGGTAGGCTGGACATCAAAAAGACCAAGCGGCCTCGCAAGAGAGTGGAGCAATGGAGTGGACGCCTGTGTCATCGGTGTTTGAAGAAGGCGTGGCCGCGTACTCGGGGCTCAGTTATGAAGACGCTCATCCAGTTCGCGAGCTATGTGACCTCAGTCACTCCCCTATTCAAAGATTTTTCTACTTCATGCCCAAGTCACTGTGGGTCAATATTAACGTGGAGACTTATAGGTACGGCCTTCAGCAAGCTGACAGACGTGCTCAGGCTATTCAAGCCAAGCAAGTGGGAAGTCGTCGCGAGACAGTGAAGCAAGTACGACGTCGTTTGAAGTCAAAGTCTGGCTACCAAACCCACGAGATTCTGCACGTTATTGGCCTTCTTGTGGCACGGATGCTGTGTCCACAGAAGCGCCGCTTTGCAGCGCATTGGGCTATGGTCGAGGATGGTGCGGTGCCAGCAGGCACCTTGGGTCGTTTCATGGCTCGCAATCGATGCCAAGACATCATGCGCGACCTACACTTTGTTGACACCGAGGCCGAGCGAACACGTGACAAGCTATGGAAGCTCAGGCCTGTTGTAGACAAGATACAGCAACGATTTCTTACGGGATGGTCTCTCCCAGCCGTTTTTTCGTTTGATGAAGGTGTTTTACCTTCTACTTCAAACCGGAACACAGCCTGTATGTTTATGCCGGACAAACCTCACCGCTACGGGTCCAAGATGTTAATGGTCTGCGACTCAAGAACTGCTTATTGCCACAGGTACACTCACTTTTTTTTATTCATGTCGTAACTTATGACGTGTTTTGCTAAATATAAGTGTTTGTGTCGTAACCTTTTTAGATTCGAAGTTTACGCTGGAAAACAAGATGTCAGTGACGGCGCTAACAACCCAGTTGATCATAAGACCGGTGCTGCAGCGGTCATTAGAAATCTGAAGATTGTGCATGGAACGAACTCGCGACACGCGTGGCATGCAGTAGTTGTCGACCGGTTCTACTCGTCCGTCTTACTTGCCATCGAGCTTCTCGGCATGAGCATCTACGTAATTGGCACTGTCATGACCAACCGGTTGGGTTTGGACAAGAACATCGTTGAGAAGCGACAGTCGCGGCCAGCTAGGATCCCTCGTGGGTCCTTCACCTTCTCTCGGTCCGTTGCGGTACCTAGCATGATCGCGTTTCACTGGTGGGACCGCAAGCCTGTGCACAAGTAGTGCACAGGCTCTGTAATGACACCTTCGACAATCAACCGGAAAGTGAAGCAGGTGGGACCTATCACAGTACCGTGTCCGGCCGCTGTAACAGACTACCAGCGCTGGATGGGCGGAGTTGATGTGCACGATCAACTCCGCCTTCAAAATTACTCTCTACAACTGTCAACCAAGCTCAAAAAATACTACAAAAGCTTATTCTTAGGCTTTATCGATTTAGTATTGGTGAACTCTTACATTTCGCACAAGGAAGCTGCAACAATGAAGGGAACACCAATAATGACGCGCGGAGAGTGGTTTGGCGTCCTCCGGAACCAGCTCCTTCAGCTAAAAGCTGGGGACTTCGCCGGTGTGGCTGTAACGCCACCACAAACTGGTCAGACTCGCAGGCGTGCACCTGTAAGTATTACGCACACGGTTCAGCAGTCTAAGGACTGGGTAACCGTCAGCGGAGTTCAGAAGCGTCGTCAAAGGTCTTGCTAGGTCTGCGCTCTTCTACGAATGGACAGAAAGAAGAAGTCGTTTGCGACGACCTTCTTCTGCGAGCGCTGTTCCGTCGACGAAGCAAAATGCTGGCTGTGTAACAAGATCCGTCGACAGTACAAGGGAACTGCAAAGACATGCTTCGAGATTTGGCACGACGACTTCGACTGCGGTCAAGCCATTCCACGTACCTTAGGGAAGAGGGTCGTCTTGCGACGTCCAGGTCGGAAAGCTGGAGCACGAAAGAGAACATGCCGGGAGCTACACCTTCGTGATGCTGCTGAAGACGTCGATAATGAGAATGAGAGCGAGCCGAAGTGATCCTGTCTGCAGACTTGCTGATGAGTGTTAGCATATGTCAAATCGAAATGCTTACTTCTTTGAATCGATGTACCTTTTGATGTACCTTTTACTATCAAATAGGATTCTAAGGCGGCTCTTTGTACCATCTTCCACTGTCTCTGTTGTGGTATGGTAGGAAGTTACGACATTAAGTGCAATGTGGTGATTGGAAAGGTGTATAATTTACGACATCCCGCAAGTGGAAAGTCTACTAAATACAAAACAGGTTATACGACATATATTTAAGCGTTTTCGATACACTTTTCCGGGAACCAAGGGGTTAAAGGACGAAAATAGATTGAGGCGATGATTTATGTGTTCTACACGACACGATCGGGCGTTATTTTAAAGGTACAGTACTGTAAGGAGTTTGCATCTCTATCGAATCAGACGTGTTCGTGTCTGTTAGGATTTGCAGCACATATTGGCCGAGAAACCCTCACATGCTCGCATTATTTCTTTTTTCTACATCGCTCGCTACTGCACGACGGTAGAATTGAAGCGAGTTCTGCGGAGTATCATCCGATTGTTGATGGTTGCTATAGGAGTAAATTACTACACCAACCGGTAGCTACTGTACGAAGTGTAGCATGATTACCCAGTCGTGCCACCCTCACCTGGTCATCCGCCGCTGTGTACTTCGTCGGTTGTACGCTTGGCATAATCTATCAACTTAATAGTATTTGACAAGTACTCGAGCCAGAAGACTGAAGTATTTCAATGTGAGTCCGAGGACTCCCCGGCGAGGAGGGGCCCACGCTGTTTAGACATTTACAAGTGGTCGTGGTCGCACTACTTACCGGTGCGTTTACAAAACCGACTCTTGAAATGCGTTCGTATGCTCACACGTTGCGGGGCACGAAAGTGCAACAGCTTTTGGACTAATCACAGACATCAAGTGCCTCTGTACTACAGAGTGTGGAGCAGCAATCAAGCTCTACATAGTTACACGGCGCTACCTGCTGCGGCGTATCATGCTTGACTTGCGCAATGGTCCTTTGTCAGGTCGGCTTCAGTTTAGCTTTTTCCTCGACAAACGGAACTTTTACGATTGTTTCCGAAACTGTTAATCAAACACAAATAGCTCATCGCGTTGAGAGCAATTCTGTATTCGACGTAGTGATGTCCGCGAGGTGAGCAGTGTTTCGACAGGCATCACGAATGGGGTGCTTGGTCAGCAAGCCTTCTGCTCCACCTCCTAACTCTGTGAAAGAATCCACTGAGGACAAACCTGCCGACAAAACCAGCGACGTCGAAAGTGATCAGAGCAAAACCCCGAGTGCTGCTCTACTGCGGTTGGCTATGGGGGCAAAGGAAGTCGAGAAGCCTAGTGACACAACCGACGAGCAAGAGCGGCCTGTATCGGGCAATGGGAGTCCTTTGAAATTACTCATGCATCAGTCAATGCTGGGAGAACAGCTGCCAGTAGCGGCCTCCATGTTACCTGACGTGTCTTATTCAATGCGTGATACCCCCAATCAAGTTGTCGCTCAGAATTCTGTGGACGGACTAGACCTACCACTTACTATGGCGCCAGTCCGAAAGAATACTGGAGTGCAGAATGCACAGATGCCTTCTCGACAGGAATCGAACGTTGGTGGAGCTCAGATAGCGTCGATTCCTTTGCAACAGCCTCAAGTTGCAAGAGCGCCAGGCTGGGTAGCAGGGATGCCTCCAAGAGGTCGAGGGGGTCCGACTTCGACTGGATGTCAATCTCCTCAAGGTGCATCCAGCCCGACACCTCACGGATCAGTTCCTGCGTCTAGAGGGAGAGGGCGCCCAATGCATGTTGTGGTTTCTGGTGATCGATATATGATGCAACGTCCAATAGGAAACCCGTCATTGTCTGAGAGTCATAGCCCGAGCTTTAGAAAAGATGAAAGTAGTAGCAGTGACGGAGACGAAGATTCCGATGAAGATATTGAACAAGACGACGAACAAGTCGAAGACTGGGATCTCAGAGACGAGGTTAGCTCTGCTACATTAACACCCACAGCTAGATCACCTCAAAGCGAGAGTCCAACCAAAGTCAAACCCGAAGGAGTCTCTCAGATTCAACAAGCACAACTCAACCACCCGAAAGATGAGTCCGCAATACAAAGGACCGAACAGAGTCTGGCTCCCCTTCCACGCCGTCGATCCTCAGGGTTTCAACCGAGATTCCGTCCAACACTTGATTTGTCCGACGATATCGACAACGTGGTGTCTGACAGCAGTGGTACCAGTGATGACAGCGATCAAGACTTTGATGAATCAGATGACTGTGTTCACGACTGGCTAAAAGCCCCAGTAGAGACCTCACCAAGGGTGTCTCCAGTCAGGCGTGTAGCGAGTCCACTAAAGCCTACAACACCATTGGTCTCAGCACGCGAAGCACCCTCAAGACACGTACACAACCTTACCATCACACCCCTTACAATCGGCTCAGGACTTACAACCCCCCTTCAAGCACGGACACCACAGCCTCCATCGTATCGTCAAGGCAACATGTCCCCAACCAGAAGCGCAGGGGCAAACATGCATATTGCCGCGATCCCTACGTCCCCAATCAGACAGTCGTCCTACCGTTCAGGTATCGTCAACAACCTTGTTCCGGCTGTCGTCCCACTCATTATGACTGGCGATCAGTCTCCTAGTAAGTCTGCGCCATCGCCTGGCACTTCTCCGGCTGCGTCTGCCATTCGAGACACAAAAATTGTGAAGAAGAAGAGAGCAGAGTTACCTCAACACAATTTGCCTCATCCCGTCCCGAAGTTTGGCGATTGGCTCAACTCCCGGACCATGATAAACAACTACATTATCTTAGAACCTCTGGGTGCGGGAGGGTACGCCGAAGTGAAGCTCTGCAAGGAAAAAGAATCCGGTAAGTTATTCGCCATGAAATTTATCAGTCGCGACGTCATGAAGAAAGATAAACTGGGCAAGCAGAGCAAACTGGACGACATCAAGCGCGAGATTGCCATCATGAAGAAGCTCAACCATCCGAACGTGTTGCGTCTATACGAAGTCATGGACGACCCCAAGATGAACAAACTTTTCCTTGTTCTCGAGTACATGAAGCACGGCGACATGCTCTCGTTCCAGAAGAAGAAAAACCCACTGGGGACGCTGGAAAACTTGCGAGATCGAGACCTTCACAGTGTTTTCTTACAGGTCATTTTGGGCCTAGCCTATCTGCACGAACAAAAAATTGTACACGGAGATATCAAACCTCAGAATCTTCTGGTTGGCGACAAAGATGTCGTGAAAATCGCAGACTTCGGCATCTCCCAGTCGCTCTACGGTAGCAAACAGAAGATCGCAGATGTAGCGGGTACACCCGCCTTTATGTCGCCCGAGATGTGCTCGGGTGAGGAGTATTCAGGCCAACTCGCTGACGTTTGGGCTCTTGGAGCGACAATCTTCATGCTTAAGTTCGGGAACCCCCCGTTCTTGGCTAAAAGTGCCATGCAAATGTTCGAGAAGATCCAGAATGATCCCTTAGTGTTCCCAGCTGCAATCGACCCATCTCTATCTCATTTACTCAACGGGATGCTCACGAAATCCCCACAGAAGCGTCTGACGCTTCTAGATGTCATGGTTCACCCCTGGGTTACCAAGAATGAAAAGCACAAACTGACTCTGCCGTCGCGTCCGATCACAGTGTCAAAAGACGAGATCGAGCATGCGGTCGGTGCGAATCACATCGCGATCGCGGTGAACGTCCGCAAGCAGATGCGTAAGCGTCTCAAACGTGCTCGAGAGTCTCTGGAAGCGAAGAAAAACACGACAACAGACTCGAATATCGTGTTCGCACAGTCGCCAAAGTCGATTGATTTCAAGAAATTCGCCAAAACGAGCAAAATCTTTGCAGACGATGCGCCATCGGGCGCGCGTAGAGTTCTCTCGAGTGAAGAGATCGATTACCGTTCGCAACTTTTTTCTCGAAAGAAAGCAAGCAACAAGAACACGCTGGAAGCTCTCCCGCCCAGTGGAGAGCACACGGTGACTCACCCCATGAACGATAGTCTTGACGACGAAGACGTGTTTTCGGATGACGACGACGAGCTGGCAGTGTCCCAGTCGCCACAACTACTCGATGAATTACTACTCACCACGCTCTCCATGCCGCCTTTAGCAAATACCACGAATCAGCATCGAAGCAGATGCAATACTACCAGTAAGGAACTGTCGAGTGGATCTCCGTGTATCGTCAATCGAACATCGTACTTGAGCACGGATAAAAGTGCAATTGAAGGCCACGACGCCCTTTGTTTCGACGGACAGAGTCCCACTCTGGCTGTTCGTTATGGCGTGTCATCGTTACAAGGCCGACGTAGCACTCAAGAAGACCGATGGGTGGTTTTGTCTTGCCTCGCGACAACTCTAGGCAACGCCGTGTGGGCAGATACCGCGTTCATTGGAATCTACGATGGCCACGGAGGGGAAGAGTGCGCGAATATTTTGCATGACCAGCTCCACACTTGGATATTCAAGTCACCGGACGCTGCACTTACAGAAAAATCCTTGCAGGATTGCTTTGAATCGCTCGATGCATCCGTGTGTGATTATTTATTGCACAAGGACGATCTTAGTGGTTCTACAGCCACTGGACTTGTACTTCGACCTGGGACGAATGGGAAGATTGTATTAACCATCGCACACGTGGGAGATTGCCGTCTTGTATTAAGCAAACGCGACGGTACTACGGTTGAGCTTACACAAGACCACCGTCTTACACTGGAAGTCGAACGTGAACGTGTAATTCAACGAGGTGGACGTGTGGTAAATAACCGAGTTAACGGTGTTATGGCGATTACACGGGCTTTTGGAGATCTCGAGTTCAAAGGGATGCTGAACCAGCATCCAGCGAACGCTGGGGGGTCGTCCGGATTCGGTCGGGCTTTCCGTGATACATGTAACGAGAAGGTACCAGCGTTACTCACGGCGAGTCCTGATGTGCATGAACTGCAGCTTAACCCGAGAGACGACGCATTCTTGTTATTGGCTTGCGATGGGCTCTGGGATGTTTTGACGAGCGAAGAAGCTACGGCGATTTTTAGAGAACGTGTGGAGCTGCATGGAGATCTCCAGCTAGCAGCCCATGAACTGGCGCAAGAGGGAATTCGACGATACTCTAACGACAACATAACCGTTATTGCAGTTTTACTAGAGCCACCAACATCGTAATTAAAAAGAGGCATGTTCATTATTTTATTATTAACTTTGTATTCTAGCTCACGTTGAGCTTCGCCTTAATTTCTAAGTGGCCTCCCTGGGAGGCTCTGGGTACCCACAACACAAGTGAGCCGCCCCCCGTGCCCGGAAGACCGAGGAAACCCGGACGCCAGCGATCAAGGTAGAGAGTCTTTCCACCAAGCGCTTTGACAGTGGAATTCCATTGGGCAGTTCCTCCTGCTTTTACATGTACATCGACTTCATCGAATCTGTCTCCTCCAGACATGATGTTCACCGTCACGTCCTTTGTGTCGGTACTCGTAAAGTTTATGATGACTTTACCGTCGCCTTTTTTGGTCCAGGAGATCTTGCTACCTCGAAACGCGTCCCCAATCGTATTCAAGCCCAGTGTAGCAGGTTGCGTGCCGTCGTCGATCTCGCCCATGAACTGCGTTGGTCCACAGACCGTCTGGATGTATTCGGAAAAGAGCAGCGTAATACGCGTGGGGTCTAACAGCGTTGCAGCCGCAGTGGAGAAGGCGAAGTCGACCACTTTGTACGCCTTTTCCTTCTCGTCTAACGACGTTCCGTTGTCACTCTTTTTCGATTTGATGAGGTCGCTGATAATAACCCCAAAGGTTTTACGTAAGACCTCCCGGGTCTTGTACGCCGTCTCTAGGCTCGACTCGGAGATCATCTGCTGCATGCAGTTATTGGTTACAGTAGGCACGTCGTACAGAACGAGGTCGGAATCACTGATCTTGAAGTGAATTTCATCGTCCGTAATGGCGGGATTGTCTTGTCGGTACTCGTTCACAGTCAGCCAAACCCGGTCCGTGAGTGACTTGAGGTCTCCGGCACAACTTGAGTTCTGCTTCATAGCTGTCTCGAGCGATTCAATCTCGCCCTCCGTGATCTCCTCGGCGGCTTCAGTGAAGTTGGCTCCTTTAAGGAAAGCCCGGAACTTCCCCCAACTTGAAATGATACTGTCGTCATGAGCTAGAGCTTGCATGAGCACCCATTCCGCCGTGGATAGCACATACTGTGACAAACGAAGGTTCGGGGGGACAGCCTTCCCCATGCAAACAGTGATAGCGATTGGTAGATCCGTTACCACAGTGCTGGTCTGGTAGAGTAGAATAAGCAGCTTGCGGTCGGTCGCCTGCGGGTCTTCCGCCTTCATAGTGCGAATGTATCGGAGGATTCCCCGCAGCACCAGCATCATCGAGTTGGAGCACTTGACAGCCCATGAAATCGTCTGACCTAGCTTCGCCAGCTCGCCGAACACGCCAAATGTAGCACTACTGAAGATGGTCATGGCAACAGCAGTGACCTTGCTGGCCACTTCTATCCCGCAGTCATCACTTTGTCGAATACATTCCATGCCGCACTCAACGGGGTAGTCTAATGGGCATTCTGTCCAGCACGTATTTGAAATCTCATTCCGGTCGTAATTACTGGGACACACGTCCATGATATGAGCCTCTCGGTAACACGCGGTATCAGGCGACATACTCCATGAGCCCACCCAATTGCGATAAGTAGATCGGACGGTACTCGTCGCAGTAGCAGGAGTGGCAAACTCAATGCCGCTGCTGGACGAAGATGAACTGGATACAACTAGTGAGCTGGGAGGCTCCGTCGCTGCTGTTCTCGAAGTTCTGGATTCTATAGCTGTGAATCCGACGATCGATACGCCTAAAGGAGGCGAAACGTGTGTGGAATACTGTCGTTGGGCGCAATACGACAAAACAAGGTGGCTATATGGGCGCAGCAGAGCAAAATGAATTCTCCTTGGCTGCGTTGCGGGAGCGGGGGATTCGACCTCAGGCAAGTGGCGAAGGGATCGTCCTTGAGTCATCTACATTTTTAAGCGGGCTTCAGTACCTTCACGACATCGAGCTGGCATGCATAGGTGGTTCCGTAGGGTACTTTAGCATATCGGCTGCGAACCACGACGGGATGGGGGTGGACTGGTGTTGAACACGGGAAGCACACATTTGTAGATTAAAACCCCTTGAAGATATTTGGACTGGCCATATGTTAGGAAGCCCCCTTCCGCCCTTGAGCACTGAATTCTTGTGAAATAACGGTTCCGAAAACTTCGTGTATTCATACTTACTATTAAAGCCTCGTTAACTTCGAAGTAGCTATTTATCTATACAGGATTACAAGCAAATAGTAAGCCACCTTAGCACCTTTCTTCATACAACTCGCGAGTCTGTAAGATTTGGTAAAAATTGGCAAATGGGGGAGTAACAAAGCATTCAACACCCGTTATTCCTACTAAACGTTAGTCAGGTGAATCGCATCGAATCGCTTCCAATGCTCGTCGTTTGATCTAGGTGTAGTTTTAGCTGATAAAGCAAATACAGGCTTATGCTAGCAAGCTTTTTTTAATTTCTGCTAAAACTGTTAAATAGTGACAAAGATTTGTTTCCAGAATAAACCATTTCAGTACATGCAGCATACACCTTTCTTTTAGCAGTAGAACTTTCCCAGCTCCTGATGAACATAGACCTACACTTTCTAAGCAGCTGGCAATAAAGGAACGCATTCCACTCAGCTCATCCAGATGCTGAGATACTCAAACGGCGGTTCTCCATACGACAGTTAGGAAGATTAGGCTCAGCCAGAAGCTTTTCGATTCTCGGTACATGTACATATAGAGCTTGATTCGAAAACAAGTTGCCAGCAGGCCACTTGTGACGGTTGCAATTTAGCACACATCGAAGCGCCGGCTTTCCTGCTCAGTCCTACTCCAACTACAAGCGTACAATCCTTGATAAGCACAGCAGATTAAGTAATCCAGATGGTGTACGAGCTGTAGACGATCTGGATCGATTCCTCAGACTAACTTAAAGATTGCCGGCCCCATCGTGATATTTGTGGGACTTATTACAATAGCTGCCGAATCTATCAAGGTTGAAACTCTGTCCGCTGCCGGAAAGACATAATACTGTGCAGTGAGTACGCCAGTACTATGTGGGCACAAGAGGCCAAATTAGGATTTAGTAATCCCAAATCTTTTCAAAAAATCAGTATGACGCTCACAAAACTACGGAATTTTTCAATGACGTGAACCCGTTGCTGTCGTACTTACACTACTAATAGAAGCCGGGGAGATTTGGAGATTGCAAAGATCATACGGGCGGACATTTAATACCGATGTGTGAACTGCGGTAGCTGCTTGCCGAGGCTAAAGCTTCTGCTTTAGCGAAAAACAGCATTAAGCATACACGAGGTAATATAAAACTGTTATTTTATTGAGACAGACAAATAGATGAATTCGAGGATATTTGGCCCGCAGATATTTCGTATAACTAAGTGAAGACGCGCACGCTACAGAGCTGAGTATGGCCTCTGCCCGCTGCCAAGCAAAGCGTCTTTATATAGTGGTACTTGTAATACAGCGGTCAACAATACCAGTGATCCCAAATCCCAAATCCTTGGTAATATCAAAAGCGCTAATGAAATAAACTACTTCGAAGTACTCATTACCAAGCCTTAAATAACGTGTACAGTACAAGCTTGGTGACAACTGCGATGAATCGCACGGGCGGTAGCTCTCAACTATGATGAAGTAGACGCGTCAAATATTGATTGTTGTTATTCGCGAAAGTTGAAATTTATAGTGTCTACCCCCTCGCTCACACCTATTTAAGTACGTTATGTAATATATATTAGCAAACTTTGCCACAATTGTTGTCTCATGGCTTATCATTCTGTTTTATACTTTTTTTTATACATGTTAGCGAATATTTGTTAGCCAAAAAATTGCAGGTTACGACTGACTATTCGGATGTTGTTGCTACGGCTGTTGCGCCTATTATTGAATTAAAGCATTCAATTTGCGCAAGTGATTGTGTTGTCCGGTTAGGCTGTCCAAGCTCTTTTAAAACCGATAGGGTTTACAGTAAATGAACTAAATACAATACTTGAAGTACATGTAAATGCTTACAAACGGGCGATAAGTTTTCCCATAGCACTTTGAATTACAGTTGTGCACCTCCAATTCGGCAGGGCGGACCATATCAACAGTGTCAGGGCATAAGTGCACAACGTAAAGCAAAAAACAAACGCAAATCCAGTGCACTGATATTATTTTTGTTAATTCACTACAAAATTTACGTTTAGTTTTAAGACCTGTGGCACCAACAGTTTCTAATAGTCTTTGCAGATATGTTGTTCCAGCCTTCAGACAACCACTTCATGGCGGAGTAAACGTCGACCGGCGTGTAAGGAGCACCCTTGTAGAACAGTTTGGAGTGAGAGCATGCAGGATCTAACTTGTGCTTCTCGCACAAAGACTGCTTTTGTGCTAGAGTTAGGGACATGTAGGAGGAAGGGCGATGTCCCATTGTCTTTGGCGGTAAAAATCGAAGTGTGTGTTTGTAAGAAGACGTCCGATCCAAAATTTAAAATCAGATCGATGCGGCGTGTTATCCCTCCGCGAGGAGGGGAAAACCGTTGAGGTTAATTGCTAGGGTGGTGATGGGCAAAGGTAATTGCGCATCCGATTCGCGTAATCATAAAATCTGGCAGGGTATCGACTGATACCGGTGCCGAATTGGAGGTGCACAGACTATAAAGATTAAAGGTAATTTTTCATAACGGTGATCTTTTTTAATAAACACGACAAGCTAGGACCTGTTCATTTTCTATAGCAGGTCCACTCCCTCTCTGGGCCAGAGTCTGGTTCACAGCAGACCATGGTTTGCCTTTCATCACTGATTCTTCCTCTTGGAACACCTGTTCGCCACAATCGGTTACTTCTGCGCTATATGAAACCACCTAGACTCCAGTCACCAATTTTTGTGAGCCGCTTTACGGCGCAGCGAGCTCGCTAGTTAAAAATAAAAAGGATTCTGGCCTTGTTAACAGCCCGGAGTAGGTCTCAAAAAGCTAACATACCGATCACATTTAATCTAAAATGAGCGGGTTCGAAAGTCTACATTCTTTTTGTCCAGAGCCTGAGCTCTCCGTAATCTTGGCAGTCTGTCTTTGGTGTTTAAAAAACTGTACATGCGATCGCAATTTTCTGCTTATGAAACCCGCCCCTTGAGCTGGTTGTATGAGGCTGTTTGTGCATCTACCGGACGCCGTGGAGAAAACAGCGTCATCTACGGAGAAGCAGGACGTCAACAACACGACTTTCGTAATGTCGTCGCGAAACCATTCTACTAACGGTATTATATCACATGATAATACTGTGTTACGTAATTGCGCTGGTATTCTGGGCAGTAGCAGAAAGCGAATAAAATCTTGTTACTTCCCTTTCTACCTCGACCGCAACTACGGTTTCTTCTTGAGTATGCTTCTCTCTCAAAAGCAAAAGGCAAAAACTGTGGCCAGATCTCTTGAGTCCTTACAGCTAAACTTTCCGTCCTTAGTCTTCGACCACCTTTCTCCTGTACGTGCTGTGCTTACTAAGTCGTCCAATATCCTAACTCCGAGATAGCTCTCTCGGAACTAATCTTCATCTCTCTTCATTCTGCTCCCACACAGTACTTCCTCACGATACTTCTCTCTTTCGGTTTCACGGCGAGTCTTGCTGATCTTCGGTTTCATACCGATGGTGGTCTTTGTCCTATCAAGCCGCGTCAACCCCATTGGTTTCGTCAGAAGGTCCGAAGGATTTTCGTCTCCTTTCACGTTCCATAGTATAACACCTTTCTGTCGAACCATATCTCTCACGTAGTGTAGACGTAGCTCAATATGACGTGTCTTTCTGCTGTACGTGGGGTGAGTAGCTAGTGAAATCGCTGCTTGGTTGTCAATTCCAAGTTTAAATGTCAGAGTGCTCTTACCGACAATCTCCGACAAGATGTTCTTAATAGCAGCTCCTTCTTGACACGCCTCACAAGCCGCAGCATATTCTGCTTCTGCAGTGCTTAGCGCCACAATTGTTTGCCGTCGCGCAGCCCACGTAACCGGTCCTCCCGCCATCATCATCACATATCCAGTTACGCTTTTTCTCGTGTCCGGGTATTTGCCAGAATCAGCATCAACGTATCCGTCGATTTCCAACTTCTCTGCAGCTTCATTGGCTTGGTTCTTAAAGAACACGCCATGGTCCGAAGTTGCAACTAAGTACCGTAAAATTCTCTTTAATGCTCCTGCATGTGCTGCGTTCGGATGCTGTACATGACGGCTCAAATAGCCAACAGGAAAAGCAAGATCCGGGCGAGTGCTTGTCGCCAAGTACATCAATGCTCCAATTACTTCACGATACGGCAATCCGGGTTCTTTATCACCTTCTTTCGCAGCTTCCAGCTTGACCGTAGTGTCCATTGGTGATCGGCAACCAACAGCGTCTGCAAACCCGAATCGCTTCAAGATATCTTTCGCGTACTTTGTCTGGTGAAGTAAAAAACCATCATCTTGCCATTCAACTTGTACTCCAAGATAATTTCCTAGCCGGCCCAAGTCTTTGATGCCATACTTTGCATCAATGTCTGCGAAAAACGTTGTCTTCCAGCTCGGGTTGTTCGTAGCATAGATAAAATCATC